TATAATCATCTTCTTCACGAAGACTCTTTCTGTAACTCTAATCCAACGGCCGCCATAGATATATTCACATGATTTTTTTATCGTTTTTTACCTTTAATCTTATTTTTTACACACTAAATCAATAGATCTATCGTATAAAAACCTTTTTGCAACCTAAAAAGCAATAAAAACTAAGTTTTCTTGATTGTTCGGAGTTAATGGCCGATTACATCAAAATCGCAGTGGCTCCGGGCCGCCGAGCGCTTAACCGCCGCCTGAGCGACCGCGGAGACCGCGTTTTTGAACATGGAGCGGAGAAGATGATGCGTGAAAAACAAAACCCGACTGCAAACCCGACTGAATATGTTTTTTTTTTTTAGGTTTTGCAGTGGCAATTTTGTTAATAAAAAATTTTACTAAGGTTAATTGGTCTTTTATGAAGTTGTGTCAAGTTTGCAGATTTGACAAAGTCATTCTAGTAATTAACCTACTTTTCAAAGTCATTCTAGTAATTATCTCTATTATTATTTATTATTTATATAACCTAATTTAATAATTCAACAACCAAAATATACAATAAATATTTTCAACAACCTAAAATTAATTCTACCTATCAAAACCTTCCACGTCCACCTTCTCTTTCTTCTTCTCCGCTTCACGTTTTCTTCCATCAAAACAGAGGAAGCTTGAGCAATAAAACAGAGAAACCTTGAGTGAGAAAACCTACTCGCCGCCGAAGGAGGAGGAGAGAGTGAGAGCTCCGGTGACGATTGCTAAGATTACAGAGATCACGACCCATCTATTGAACTTGATTTTGTTGATGAAAGCTGCGAAAATCGGAGTGAAGAAGAACTGTGTTGTGTAGATCAGAGTGAAGATATCAAATGGGATATCAAGTTTTCCCATGGCGGCGAGTCTTCCTTGAACCGACATGATGATTCCAATGCAAATGTAGATTACGGCTAAGGATTGTAATGATATCGATCTGAAGTGATCCCAGGTTGTTGTTGTTGGTTGTGTTTCTTGGTGAGGATGATGAAAGGGAGGAGAAGGAGAGGGAAACCCACGGTTTGGAGAAGAGATTGAGTCCAAACGCCGTCGTTTTGACGGATTTCATTGTACTCGCTTCGGTTGATTTTGTCGTAGTAGAAGTGTTCGAGGAGTTTTGCTATGGTTTGACCCGTGATTACGAAGATGATTGAAAAATTGGTTGTTGATTCTAAGCCATGGTTTGGAACTGATTGTCGGAGATTCGAGTTCAATGTATTGACGGA